ATATATATATATATATATTTGTTTATTTAATTAATTAAATATTATAATTTAGTATTATAATATAATATTAATAATTATAATATAATATATATGTATGTATGTATATACGTTATAATAATATATAATAATAATTAAATATATCTAATATAATAATAATAATTGTAATACTTTTACCTATAATATTTTTTCTGAAATGAACAAAATAATTTATAAATTATTAACCAAATTCTAATAATAAATTATACTCAATAATTACAGTTTTTCTTTCTAAATATAATTCAATTGATTAATACAACTATTACATTATTTTACATTATTATTAACAAACACAGTTGCGTTGTAATTTTTACCAAACGCATATATGCGTCCATAGCACTCAAGAGGTTAATTAACTTAAATTCTTCCTTCACATCATTACTACTACTACTACTACTACTACTACTACTACTACGACGAATTAAATCTTATTTACTTGCAATTCTAATTTCACCTATTTTACACGACACTCGACAAATATTCTCATTTCATTTTTATTTTATTTTTTTTTTTTTTTTCTTTTTTCTTTTCTATCTCACTTTCTCTCATATCAAGCGAGACAGATTCATTACCATATTTTTCTTTTTTTTTTTAACCTTTTAGTAGTAAAAAAAAAAAGATAGTAGCAACTTTTATCGGATCATTTTTTTTAATTTGCCAATTTACAGCACGAATGTAACTGAATACGGAAAAAGAAACAAAAATATAAATTAATTCATGTCTCGATTTAAATTTCATTCAACAGTACATATAATACATCGTCATAGTTTATTTAAAACATATGATTCAAAAACGTGAATATAATAATAATAATAATAATAATTATTAATATTATTAACAGAACACACATCATAAGCAAATAAAAATACTCGAGGTGTTTGATGAGGTGCATTGAATGTGCTCGTAAAAGATAAAAAAAAATAAACAAATAAATGAACAAATTAATCAAATGAACAAACAATAATCAAATCAACAAATAAATAAATAAATTTAATATTTAAAAAAAAATCAATCTAATAATAATAATAATAATAATAATAATAATAGTAAATTATAAAATCGATAATCATTGAAGGTGACAAGTGTTTGAAATCGTCGATCGGCAGGGTGTCGGGTCTCGAGCGATCATTGGCCGAGGATGTGGAGGGGGGGAATGCTAGCAGTAGTACGAGGGACGGTAATAGTGAGTTTAAAAGTGAGGAGGTCGAGGTCGAGGTCGACATTGTCGGTGATACAAGAAGCAATAGTAGTAGTATTAGAAAAAGTAAAAACAACAACAACAACAACAAACGAATTGGCAAAATGTTGACAACGGCTCGTTCTGGAGGTGGTGGTTCACTCGGTGGGGTACAACACCCATCTAGTAGTTTGGGCCCACTTGAAGGAAGCGATCATCTTTTTCTGCTACCAGAAAGGGCTCTTATTATGGATAGCAGTCGGTTACGTCAAGATTTGGCTGGTCTTGATTTTAATCTACGTTTCAACCTTTTTCAAACGGCACCCCGTGGCAACGTCTGGCTATGTGAGTTTTGTGTTTCTTCTTCTTGTTCTTGTTCTTGTTCTTCTTGTTCGTATTGGTCAACTATGTTAGATGAATATTATGAAATTAGTGGGTCATTTTATTTTATATTTTTTTAATCGTATTATTTATTTAATGGAAATTTATAATCGATAGGTTTATACTTCTTCTTTTTCTTCGTATTCGTCTAACTATTTTAGACGAATGTTATTATATTATAAAATGTTATAATATATAAATTATATTATATTAAATTATATTATATAGCAAGTAAATTATATTAATTTGTATATAATATAAATTTATATAAATATTTATATTATATAATTATTTAATATTAAATTATAAAATATTATAATATATAAATTATATTATATTACATTATATTATATATCAACTAAATTATATTAATTTGAATAATATAAATTAATATAAATATTATATAAATATTATTTATATAATATTTTATAAATTAATATAAAAATATTCATATTATATTATTATTTAATATTAAATTATAAAATATTATAATATATAAATTATATTATATTAAATTATTTTATATAATAACTAAATTATATATATA